AGTCGAGCGCCTTATCCACCAGGCCATGCCGGGCCCAAACTATGCATATACTGCCTACAATTAACTAAATGTAACAAATCATCATCTACACAAATTAATCCAAAGTTTGTTAGTATAAAAATGTTTCTCAGCATAAATGGATTTATTTCTCAAGTTTAGAAACTGTTCAAGTAACAATGGGAAAAGTATCTATAAAAACCAAAAATTAATTCTTAAAACTTTTCCTCAAAATTGTCCTTCCCTTTATTATGCAGAAGTATTTCAATAAAAAAAATTACAAAGATCCATTATCATTACAAATAGATCTGACTATTTTTAATTGATTTTTTTTATAAGTCATAAAAATGCATAATACACTCTCAAAACAATGAGAGAAAGATACTTTATTCCTAAACAAAATCTTCCAAAGTGTCAAAGTAACCTACCTGAACCATCTTAGGTCCAAGCACACTGAGATGGTTGGCATACTTTTGAACAAAGTCCTGCATATGTGCAAGTTTCTCTTCTTCCATCTCTTGAAATTGAGTGCATGCTTGAAAAACAGCTGATTCCCATTCCTGTCGCATCCTCTCAGCTTTTATACAATTATTGTAGTAGTCATAGTCAGCTTTTACCATGGTTTCCTCTGCTTTTCTACGTTTAGCTTCCAACTATAATGAAAAATGGCAATAAAAGATAGCTTATTTAGTTGCTGTCATGACCTCTTGAAGAGTGAGTCAGCTAAGACACTATACGAAATGTTTATTTACATACATATATATATATACCTCTGATTTTCATTACACTTTCCTCAATACTGATGAAAAACTCCAATGTCTTACCCACTTACATAAGAAATTGAGGTTGAATAATAAATAAAAAAAAACAACAACATTTAAGTTATTTTTGTGCTACTTTTTCTCCCTTTTAAGTAAAACTGGGCAACAGTGGTAATTGCTAATTGATGGCCCCATTAATTGATTAATCAATAAGTGTTCCTTAACCCATGGTACATAAGCGTACAAACAAAAAGTAGGAAGTGGTGCTGCCAGCCAGTTGCCTTTCCTCTATTTTGCAAATGAACAAAGAAAAAGAGTTGGCAGCAGATACTGCCAGACAGTTATCTTCCCTATAGTTAGCAGTTCATAAAGATTTAAAAATAAATAAATAAGTTGGTGACAGGTGCCAGTTGCCTTCTCTCTAGTCAACAGTTCAAAATTAGTGACAGCAGATAATCTTAGTAGCTTCTCCATTATAAAGGTAGGGCAAGCAAGTCTGATTCTGCAGTTGCTGGCTGACTGATGTCATGAACATTTGCAGCATTGGCAAAAGCCCTATGTTCAGGAGAGGACTCTCCTGCATTACTCAACACTATTCTCCTGCAGCTGTCTCTTTACAGCAATGGGCTCTCCATCTTGGTTGTAAATATTTCTACATCCAGAATAAGTTATTCTTTAGTAAAATTATTCTTTTAAACTTGTGACTTGAGAGATCAAGCTAGGGATAGGATTCACACTGACCAGAACAGAAACTTCACAATAAATCCAATAGCCAAGTCACCCAAATTTTTCCTTGCTATCTACTTATGATAGATGAACAAACTTGAAGCAAAAAAAAAACAATTTATAAGGCTAAAATTAGGCAGAGCACAGATAGCTTATTATGTAACTTTGTGCTTAGCAATAAACAAACATAACAGTGATATTTCAATTACTTGAATAGTTGGAATAATCAAACATAGTAACACCCAGAAATCCTAGTTTCAATCAGTTGATTATTTTCATGACAACCTATTTAATCTTAATTTCGATTAATCAACTCTTGGAATAATTGAAAACAGTAATAATCAGAAACACTAATTTTAAGGGATCAATTTTATTAGAATTTTGATTAATCAATTAAATTACCCAGCTCTAGTTTCAAGAACAATTAAGAACATTTTCAACCCTTACAACAGGAACATTAATTAAACCATGAAAAACACAGCAAGAGGATATGCCATACAAATTAATAGTTTCAATTGCTGTATTGTTCTGAGGAAAACCTATGAAATGTAAAAGAAAATTTACTTGCCGAGTTCAGTTTAAGTATATAATAAGTTGAAGGTGAGAAATATGTGACATGAAGCTTAAGATGTGTAATTGGGAGGACCAACTGCCAAGTCTTAAAGCATAATGTGGAGTATTCTTCATTTTTTAAGCCTAACCTGGCAATGTGAAAATCCACAGGAACAAAAACATCACTTTTTGTGATTAGATAATGTTTGTTATAAAAGCCTGTTCTTCACTCTTAAAGTAACAAAACAACTGAAGCATATAAATTGTATGTTTCTATGGAGGTGTATAGTTTATGCAGAATGTTTTCTTTAAACAAACTTGAATAGTTTACATATTTATAGCTATTCAGAGATGTACTATGATACATCATGTGCTGCAGAGAAGGCTGTTTATATGTAGGTTTTAAAAGAAAAATCATTGACTGCGTACAAAACATCAAATTGATTATACTCTGTAGAAAACTTAATATTAAGAAAATACCGTCAAATCCAAAATAGAAAAACTTGCAAACTCTCAAACTTTGAAACAGTCCTTATGTTGTATTCATAAAGAGTTTATGTAATGTGTTCTTGTCATTCTTCTATTGTCTTGTAGTTTTTATTGAATAGAAATATTTCAAGTAGTATGATTTTGCCCTGTTACATTTATACACTTGTAAAAAACGTTTTATTTGTTAGTACAGCTACAAATTTGGAATAAAAGCTACAAAGGAAAATGTGGTCAAAATTTTACCAAGATTACCTCATGAAGGTCATTTAGCCAAAAACCAGCTATTTTGTTTCTCTCTCTCTCTCTTGAAGATTTTAACATACTGTACCATTTATCAAACCATGCTAATTTTCCAATATATATACTCATAATTTGGTTTCAATTCCAATTAATTTTTGAATAAAATCTTTGTTTGAATATAAAAAAATTAAAGTAAGGACAGAGCTCATCATGCATAAACTAATGACTGGAAATAGTACATCTTGTAAACGTTTCTAAAAATATCAGTTATTCTTCCTGAAATTAGGTAACAAGATGGATTAATAAATATGGTAATTCTTACTTTTAATACTTTTACATGATTGAATGAAATATTTTAAACACTGATATATGACACCCATTAACTTTTTTATGTTTTATATCATAGAACTTATTTGAAGTTCTTATATTTAATTTCATGATTTATTGTGTATATATATTTTTTCAAAAATATACTAAAGGTTATCTAAATCTCCAACCTCAATTTGATACAATTTATTTCACATATAAAATTTTTTGTTACTTAATACAATTATGGTTAATGATTTTTTTAATTGTTAATTTTAAGTTTATCACCTTACTAATGTCTTTATCTGTGATAATTTTTCCTTTGCTACTCCGACTTTCTAATTTCTGATCCTTCATTCGCTCATTTTCTTTTGTACAAATAAAACACAACTTTTGAGACTTCATCTCCTCATTGCGAAAATCAGCAAGACTTTTTGATGTTCGATCCACCATCAATTCAACCTATGGAACAATTTGTTTTAAAACACAAGTTAAACATATAAATCACAATTTACTTTTTACTGTTTCATTCAAACAAATCAATATACATAATTTAAATGATATACAAAAGTTCTTTTCTTATAAAAAAACAAAAAGGTACTTCAAATATTTGAAATATTTTATTTCATTAAAATATTATTTCATATTTTGTTATTGCTTTCTATTTTCACCTAAAAAAAGATTATTCAACAGTAAATGAGCTTGAAGATAAATACATAAGTTTTAAATGCATGTATCCATTTGTGTGCATAAATGCATATGTAGTTATTTCATAGTTCAGAAAACAGATTGCATATTTATGATAGAAAAATATTCTGAAGAGATATCAAAATGGGCACCTTTATGCAAGTGACTTCAAAACAACTAAGAAATAATCAAAAGCCAAACAAATGGTTTTAAATAACAACAGTTCATATATATATCTTGTGGGATTTTTGAGCAAATAACATTGAGATCATAAAACAGTAGTTTATGCTTAATATAAGACTTTTGTTCAACAAATGAATACAGGTGGAGACAAGTAATCATGTTAAATCTGACAATCCAAATAAAAAACGTTAACTAAAAGTACAAATATTAACAGTTTTCCAGAATCTTTTTTACCAGATATATAAACAATTGATTTTTTTCCTTACTTAGATAGGAACAAGTTTTTTTGTTTGTTTGTTTTTAAATCCAGGACAATGTCTCCATTAATGAGAAAAAGATATCTGGTATACATCAACTTGAATAGCACCTTATGTGACACAACAGCCAGGTCAGATATCCCACAGTTCAAGCATAGTCATCCATGCTTTTGAAATGCTGACTGGATGAAGAACAACCAATCATCAGCATCTGCTATCTACATGACTATTCTTAAATGAAGAGTGGGATTCAATGTCTACTTACAACAACCTCAGCTAAAAGTGAAAAGCATGGTCAGTTGCATATCACAGGTCGGACCTTAGGTACTCTAACCACTAAGCCACATCTGCTTTCTAATACACCATGAATTCCTAGTTTTAATGACTGTCTTAACATTATGCAACATAATTCTTCAGTGTAAAAGCACACATTTTTTTACACATTGTAACTGTATGGAGAGTAGAAGACCATAAAGATTTACACTCTAGATAGATGCAGTCTATGAAAACTTCATATTCAGTAGTCTAATTAGCAAAAATCTTCTCTAAAAGTTAACAATTTTCTTAACTGAAAATATATTTCTGATAGATACTTACCTTCTACACAAGTTAGCTATTTCCCTCTTGGTTTGTGCTTTCTGCCTGAGAAACTTGCATGCTACCAGCCTACAGAAAACTCCCACTTAAAGTTTAGGTGAATCACGTGCCTTTATGCTACTGCAGGATGATATATCATGCAGCAAAACCCTCCACCAATAAGAGTGCAACACATCTTCTGGTGCAAGTTCTCCCTTTAGATATACATGCAAAATTCCTCATTCTTTGACAAGGCAACTAATAAAAGTGCATTACAAAAGTGGGGAGGAAGGGTGGAAACATACAGAAGTGACTATCTATTGCAAATACATTTTCAGTTAAGGAAAATGTTAACTTCTAATATGATCACTCACTTCTATACACAGATTAGCTAAAATCCCATGCTGAGATGGTGGAGGGACCAGTACAAAAGTTATCTACATTAACCTCTTTTTCTTCTTTTAAGAGTGTCAAAAAAAAAAACTCATGGGGTGCACTTCTTATGGCAGGGGTTTCATAGGGACACACCAATGGGATGACTGCATCTCATTTCACCCAGGGTATACTCTTCACCCAAGTGAAGGATAGGAAGAAGTAAGAAGCCTGAAAGGTGTCATAAGGACAGGTAGAACAAGAACATGACCATCTGAGAGCTTTCACATAAGCAGTCTGATGGCCAATAAGTGTAGTGAGGTTGAGGCACCTTCAGACTGTACCTTATGTGCTGACCTGCTTAACCATCAGTCTCTGTGGGTCAATACAAGCTGTGAAAGAAGAACACTCGTGCACAGCTCCTCTACCATCAGACACTAAGGGCCCATGCTACTTATAGAAGAAGGGAGCTGTAGTGGACTCAATGAATAAAGATACATATGAAGCCACCACTCAACCATCAGACTCTCCAGGCCTTACACCCGTTGTGGTAATAGGGTTAATGAGCAATACACAGTTGGATATTAAGAAATATCAATTACTCTGCAAGCATATAATGTATGGTCATGATCTTGTAGGAGTAGGCAAAGGAGAAACAAAGTAAAGGAAACGTGTGTATGAAATCCACTTGGAGATTGTGAGGTATCTAAGAAATAATGGTTGAAGACGGCTTGACTGGGTAATGAAGAAAAACTTTAATACAAGTTTAACATAACAGCAAATGTCAACGTTTCGACAAGATTTAGTCATCATCAGGTACAAAACCTTGTTGAAACGTTGTACATTTGCTGTTATGTTAAACTTGT